ATATATATATATATATATATATATATATATATATATATATATATATAAAAACACGTAATTCTAATATAAAACACTGACACTATATTATTATAGGAAATATTTAAACAATTATATTATTTGAAATGTTTATTACATATACAACATGTGGATATTTTTATATAATCTTTGTGCATATATATTTGCGTGTATGTGTATATATAGCGTTTAAAAGGACATCAGTTTACGAAAATGCATTGTATATTCATTAAGAATAAAATAAATCAGATTCTATGTAAAATTTTTTTCACGACAGTAATGACAAATAAATAATAACAGTCAATGAATCAAATGTAAAATTAAAAATTTGTTATATGATATAGTTTCCTATTTTTTCTAGTCTTTCAAGTAACCTGTAAGATATGCCTCTCTTCTTATCCACTGTTTGACTGCGACAGGATGCATAAGCCATATCTTTGCGTCAGTGCCTTCGTGAATATGAATATTCGAGCAATCCCTTATTTTCTATTGGTAGAGTTGTGTAAATATCGTGTAAATTTATTCTAAAACAACTGTTACTATAGTAACCCTAAAAACTTACGCGGAATAACTTGAGATCTTTTTTTTTAAATTTCATTGGTTTTTGAATTTCCTTCATCATGCACGTTCTGCATAAGAAGGTTTTGTTGTTCAAGTGCCAGTAATCGCCCGTTGGTTCTTTACTACACACTTTGCATGTATCCGTGTTGCGGCTGCAACACTTCAAATCGACTCCAAGTTGCATCTTGACTGTGCCACCAAAACTGTGTTGAAACATAATGCTTTTTATTTCCTTATTGACGTACATTCCAGGTCTGCAATAAAACCATTATTACTTCATAGAAATTCTCTCTACTTGTACCTTTTACCCTGGATTTTTGTTAATATCCAAGACTCTTCTTTCGCTAGTAGATGCAAATGGATGTTTTTGCGGCTTGACAAGTTTAGGAAAAGAAATGATGTTGTATTCGGATGGTGACGGATAATCGTCCACGTGAACGACAGGCTTGGCAAACCGAGCTATGCCACTATAGCCCTTTTTACTGAAGCTACAAGGACATGGCTAATGACAAAAAGATCAGATACTTCAATTATACATATTTAATAATAATAATGATTTTGTCAGGATTGGGTAATAACTAGTTAATCAGTTAAAAGAATTAAGCTAAAAAGTTAATAACTTTTATCGTAAATTAAATATTTCAAAATGCATTAACTTTAAGTTATTAACCTTTTTTTATTAACCTTTTTTATGTAAATTAGAATGATTCTTAATTAAGTTAAAATAATAAGTCCTGTTACATTTTTATTTTATTTTAAAATAATTCATCAATACTAGTTAGTTAAATTAATTATATTGTTTATTTCGAGCTGCTTTCAATATAGGAAAAATAGAAAATAATGCCAGCAGAATTTTTTTATCTCTTTGAGCGCCAATATCCTTTTCTTGTATAAAATTTCATATATTCTTGTGTAAAATTTTTGTATAGAATTTTGTAGAATTTTTGTATAGAGCATAGAACAATATTTTCGGTATTTTCTTAAAAAAAGACTACATTTTGTTATTTCATATAAATTTTATTTACGATTAAAAACTTAACTATGCAAAAACATATATTACTTTGTAATTTTTAATTTTAATAAGTTAATTTTAAGGATGTATTATTCACACCTAAAAATAATGAAAAAATTTAAAAAAAAATTAAATATTAATCTATAGAAAGTGTCCTCTCAGATAGTATAGAGAATTCAAAATGAATTAAAAAAGAATTTAGTCATATGTTGTCAATTCTGAGTTCATTTTCAGATGCAAAAAGAATTTTTTTAGTGTTCAGTTTAGGGAAAAAAATTCATCTGAAAATAAACTCAGAATTGGTGATATACAACTGAATTTTTTTTTAATTCTCTGTGCTATCTGGATACTGTTACAATAAACATCCTTAATTACATCCTTAATAGACTTTTAATTTAATTTTTAATTAAATTTATTTTTGTTTATGAAACTTCATTTTAACAAAGGTAATTTTATAAACTATTAACTTTGCATTTAATATAATTTAAAAAAATTAATTTACCCAACCCTTGATTTAATAATAGCTTTCAAAGTTTGTACCTTAATCTTAATCGCATTAAATGATTCCAAGACATTGTAAGTAGCAGGTCCTATGCCTGGATAATCCTCCGAAGCATAATATCTCATAAAAGAACTCATACCCTTCTTGGAAGTATCGCGTGGACATCCGGAACCGAAGCATATTTTCTGCTGTTCCGGCTTTCGTATCACGTATTCAAAATCTGTATCTGAAAAAAGATAACCATATTATTTACTTGCGATCTAAGTTCTCGGAAAATGTATACATAGTGTTTCGACAAGACTACTATTATCGTTATCAATAATAACACGTCATACACGAATCATACACAATATCATATAACAGGCAGCTCTCTTATGAATTTATTTAACAGAATCCTTGCGGAAGTTACTATAGTAACTCTTACATAGACCTAACCTAATTAGTTACATTATATCAAAGATATATTGTGCTCTTGCCGTTTGCAAAATCCACAAATTTTTTCAAATTGAATTTTGTGTCAGAATGTAAGCGGCGCAAATTCACCCAAAAACGTATTTTCTCGTAATAACGCAAATTTATATTAATACCTGCCATACGACGATTTACGATTTTCCTTGGTATATAAATATATACTGATAAAAGAATCGATGCTGTCGTGTTCTCGACTTAAATTTCTAAAAATATCTCGAAGTGATTGTATCCGCGGTGGTGTGCGTCAGCGTGTATGTACACATACGATGGTATGCTACGAAAGCAAAATCATGAGATCGTTTGTAATTTCGCGCGTATCAGCGCCCTCGCGCGAGCACGCCTGCGCAGACGTGACCAACCGCGCAGCGGCAACGGTATTCTGCTCAATATCGTAACTCTGAAAATCTAAAATAATTCTCGCGCGGACACGCGTAATCGTCTCAGCTTCTAAATGCGAGAAATAACTGTTGCCGCGAGTGCACGCGCGTCTAACACATGGTGGACATGCGGTAAAAAACGACGGGTGAGTCTCGGTACAGGAAGCGGCGCGGCGCCGTCACTTGAGCAACATAGTGGCGTCAGTCGCCGCAGGTCGATGGTGTTGTCCGTACCGACGGTCCGTCCGTAGCCGTCCTCGCCGCGCGATGCGTCCACCGACGTGTGTTTCTGCACATGGCCGTGCCGCCCGACGGGCCTCTGCACTGCTCCGCGATTTCTGGCGTCCAGCCACCGGTAAATGCACGTATTCGCATCGGATTTCACCGCCATGTGAGCGGGAAATACGTGTTTTGTCCACGGGAACGTGCGTGGAGTCAATTTTCACGGCATTTCGTGCGCTTTATCGAAAGAAGTCGGCACTTACGGCGGACACCACGGCGCGCTGCATCGTCGCGGTGTTGGCGCCGCGACGCGAACTTGCCGTCTCTACGACGTCGCGAATCTTCTCTCCTTCTTTCTTTCACGTTGTAACACACCTATTTCTCGCGCGATTTTTCTCGGGAAAATTGTTGCCGACACGCGAACGCGGGATAATACTTGCGCGACATTCAAGGACGATGTGAAGCAGCTCCCTATATATATATATATATATATGTATATATATATGTATATAATATGTATATATATGTATCTACAGGGCTACTTCTACTTTTCGCCCTTTGCATGGAGATCTTTCGTACAGCTAAAACATTGCAACCACATCTCGGCTTTGTGATAACATTCAGTAACGTTATTTGGAGAATCCGAAATAAATAGAGTATCGTATTTCTATGCAAAAAATTGTCATCTTTTTTTCCTTTTATTTATGCTATATTTGTGTGCAATACGATTTTTCCCATTAAAATGTACCGTTTGTGCATGTTCTTAAAATAACAAATACAAGTATTATTTTCTTATTAAAATATCTATGTTCATTTTTAATATAGTCTTTTTTCAGGATTGCGTCTACTATTTTTAGAAGAATTATATTATACTTAGCATTCATACCATGACTACATCATCAGAAGATGTTTTGATGCAAGTGGGCCAAGTGCGTTATAAGAAAGGAGATGGCACTTTATATGTGATGAATGAACGAATAGCATGGATGCTTGACAACAAGGATACTGTATCCGTTAGCCATAAATATGCTGATATTAAGTGTGAGGTTTTAAGAAATAATATAAATATTGAATTGATACTTAATAACCAAAGACTATCAACATAGAGAATAGTTTGAATAATATAACTAATAGATTGTGTTTTTCCTTTTCAGTACAAAAGATATCACCAGAGGGAAAGTCAAAGATACAATTACAAGTGGTATTACATGATGGTACATCATCTACATTTCACTTTGTAAATAGACGTGGACAAGAAGCTCAAATCAAAGATCGTGATGATGTGAAAGAATTACTCCAACAGCTATTACCAAAATTTAAGAGAAAAGTTAACAAAGAATTAGAAGAAAAGAATAGGTAAGAAAAATATTACTATGTTTGTCTGATATTATTAATTAACAAAGCACTGCTAAATATCACTAGTTTATAAAGAAAGAACTTTTTTTCACATACATCAAATTATATAATCTATATAATATTTTTTACATTAAATAAAAAATATGCAAACATTTCTTCAGTCATTGAGTTTTTTAGTAATGTAATTTTTATGTTTCAATAAAACTGATTTTTTTAATGTATAGATTATATATATAGAAATATAGATTACTTAATTTAAAATATAGAACCTAGTGATTTTCTGTATTTGGCTATAGTATGTCTCTTAAAAATAAAAAAATATTAGTTTCTATCATGTGCCTAGTTGAGAAAAAATTGTTAACCTTAGTGAGATTTTATAGACAAATATATTATTTGAATGAAGGAACTTCATGGTATGGTAATACTGGATACTATTAGAGCACTTTAACATGAAAAATTTAGAATTAAATAGAATTGCAATTTTTATATGGAATATTTTATATACAACATATTAAATATCAGATAAATATCAAAAAAATTGTGGATAATGAAGAAATTCTGACTTCTTTTTTTTAATTCTATATACAAAAATACATAAAAGACATTAGAAATTCCATGTCACTGATTAAATTACATTGTTTTACATAAAAATTATATCTTTGATCTAAACTGACGATTCTAGTTCAATTTATACTTATTACAAATATAACAATTAAAATAAAAGATTAGTTTTTATAATTTCCATAATATAGTAAACAACAATCAAAAGAGAATTCGTAAAAACCAATTCTTTAAAAATTATTTTTTAAATTTAAATTAATATGTATAATAATTTTGTAAAAGTTTTTAAATCTTTTTTTTTTTACTTTTTGTAGAAGGATAGACTTCAAATTTACTCTTTGAATTGACTTCTTTTGTAACTATCTTTATTTTGATAACATTGAAAATCATCTAATAGTATAACATTTATAAGGAGTTTTGTTAGCTTTTTGGATAATATGAAACGTAAAAATTAAAAGATTATAATACAGATATATTTTGTTATATTTTCATATGTCATACTATTATTTGCAAGAATAAAATATACTCTACATTTTTTTAACTAAGGCTTAGTAATTTTGTTCACTTCTATTTTCTACTTTAACATATAAACATGAAAAGAAAAAATTCAAATTGAAAGATATAAACTATAATGTAAAATTTGTTGATTAGTATATTTGAATATAGTAAGCCAACTTGTTAATCGCAAATGTTTATTTTAGGACTCTGCAAGAACATCCTGGTCTGCTTCAACTGTATCGTGATCTGGTTATTACACAAGTTATATCATCAGAGGAATTTTGGTCGCAATATGCTGCAGAATATACACAAGCCAAAAAAAGCCAACGCCAAGAAATAGGTGTGAACAGCGCTTTCCTGGTAAGGCATCCTTTATTTTCTCAGATCTTTGCACCATATTTTTATATGAATTATTATATAGTTACGACTACAGTTAACGAACATCCCGATTTTCTTAGGCGGATATTAAACCACAAACCGATGGTTGCAATGGATTAAAATACAACTTAACTGTCGACGTAATAGAATGTATATTTAAGACATACCCAGCCGTTAAAAGGAAACATCAGGAAAATGTGCCTCACAAAATGTCAGAATCTGATTTCTGGACAAAATTCTTTCAGTCACATTATTTTCACAGAGATCGTATCAATGCTGGGACCAAGGATCTTTTTACCGAATGTGCCAAAATAGATGATCAAGAACTTAAAAAGGACTTGCAATCTGGAATAAACGATCCTTTGCTGGATATCACTTCTTTCGAGGATCAATCGTTAGATGAGAATTACGGGAGTGGATGTAGTAAATCTGACAAGACGTCAGGGAATATCGTTCACCAGAGTATGATCAAGAGATTCAACCAACATAGCATAATGGTTTTGAAAGCGAGCACTGCCAAACAGTCTATGCAAATTAATCAGCCACAGTTAAACGGATCTACACCGTCTGCAAGCAAAGTCCCAAATGATCAACCAGATAACGGACCAAAGGCTAAAAAGGTATAGTTATATAAATACTTTAGCTTCATGCATTTATAATCCGCAATAATATGCCCAAGCATGATCATATCTAACATATTCAAGTATTCTTTACAGCTTAGAATACAGGAAAAGATAATTTATGATGATCTCGACACAAGCTGTGACACAAACATAAGTAATGGAGCACCACTAAAACTGACACACATAGATAGATATTTGCATGGGCCTGTACCAGGGTACGGAAGTACAGAGCCAACTTCTGAAGAACTACTCCTTACATTAAGTCATTTGAAGAAGGAATCTTCCGGATGGGTATTCGGTAACACGTTACCACGGCAAGCAGCGACGTCCTTAGTCAGTCCAGCCGCAGCAGTGTCGGCTTTAGGTGAATTAACACCTGGCGGATCCTTAATGAAAGGTTTCCGAGAGGAAAGTCTCGGACGTAAGTAAATTATTTTTGATACAAGTAGGAGATGAAACTAGTAACTTGTTGTCTTTTATACCACTCATGTGTCTCTTGTGTATAGAATTGCTTAAACGAATATTACAGAATTAATACCAAAGGATTTGGAGAAGGATTTACGTAATATATATGTATGCACGTGCGAGCTGTTGAGGCACTTTTGGCGGAGTTTCCCTCCAACGACGCCGCAACTTGAAGAGAAAGCGATTAGAATGCACGAAGCTTTACATAGATTTCATTCTGCTAAACTTAAACCTTTCGAGGTAAGTACTGTGTATATATCTGTCGAACATACATTTACTAATTTTTTGCGGATTTCATACAATATACAATATTTCATACAGTAGTATAAATAATAATAGTATGTGAATCTCATTTTTAGGATCGCGTGCAGAGAGAATTTTCTGCGATTAGTCAACACTTAACAAGTCATCTTAATCAATTACTGAATACTGCGTACAGAAAGTTTGCAGTATGGCAACAGCGAAAAATACAAATGAGGTAGCCGTTCGTTAAAATCTTTTAATAGCAAAGACGTAAATAAAGCAGAGCAATATTGATCATCCCTACGCATACTGCATTTTGTAACGTTACCGTAATTAGATGTTAATATAAATGTATTTTACAAAAAAGGCGAAACCAAAGCTACGTCAGGTCATACGTCCTGTGCTGCCACCATATATCGTTTATTTATTATTATTACTTGTAGCTGCTTGTAACTGTTTCCGAACTACTTTTGCAAATTTATCATCCGGATTCAATCGCGACCGATTAAAATGTCAATTTAAAACCGTGGTACATGTAGTTAATAGCTTATTTATTTGTAGCTAAGCTATATGTAATATATTTGAGTGTATGAGAGTGCGTTTATTGAGGACGCACAAATATTTTCAAGATATCTCTTTACACTTCGAGAAGAAATAATGGGTTTGTAAAATCTTGCGAAAAAAAAAGAAAAGTAAAAAACGATATAGTAAAAGTAAAAACGATATAGTTGCATATAATTACCTAATGTTTGTAATATGCGACTATTTTGAGTTTAATATGTCATAACGAGAGAAGGTGAGCGACTGGAAATATTGTACGATATCAAAATAACTGTGATACCGCCACTGTACAGTCAAGCTTGTTAATATATATTTCTTCGTCTCGAGAACGCCTTCATGATGACGATCTACTTCAATTATGTCATTTTGTTGATGAAGAGAATCACTTGTGATTCCTTCGTTCGTTTTCATCTTTTTTTATTGTTTGCTTTCGCGATAAATATAGATTGAAATATCAGTCCTCTTCGTGCGCGATCAAATCGATTTACTCTGTAAATTCGAGAGAATCTCTAAGTACGTCTCCGGGATCTTTGAGAAGATTTCCCGTCCTCCTACTATTTATTTAATAAGGACAGTGGCATCGGTATACTTTGTATGATATCTGCGATACACTCAACTAAGTGTCTTAATTGTTGAATCCTATTTTCCCTTGTGCTCTGCTGAGTAAGGCGATCTGCAAGTTTTCATAAACTGCCTACTCAGACTCTACTGTAGCAATAATTTGACAGTTTTAGAGATAGATAGTACCTATTTCAATTAGTAACGCGCGACTCGCTCGTTACGCTATTATAATTCTTATGATCATTGCTAGGGTATAATAATTATAAATATATTCTTACATTATGATTATATAAATATATATATATATATATGTATGTACATATATATATACAATAAATGTTATCATTGTGATCACGATTCTTAATATCGACTCAATCTTCATTGTCTTTCTCGCTCGAATAAATCATTCTATATCTATTTACTTATAAAACAAGAACTTCGGAACGAAAATTTCGACGTGAACTTCGCGGAACGATGAAGTGCGAATTCGATTTAACAATCAACAGGTTGCAGTTGAACTTCGTATCTACTTCTATTCTTCATAAAAGTAGCTTATTTTCCGTCACTAAACCAAACGCGTATAAAACCGTGAAATACGACATATCGGCGACTATTTCCTCGCAGAGTATCTTTTCTTTGATAAACGTACAGTGCGAGCGTGTGAAATTTACGGACAGATGCATGAAGAAATCTTACTCAATTGTGATTCAAATATCCCGCGAATCCGGTATATGAGTGATGGTGTGTGCGCGATGTGATTAGCGTGTGTGTGTGCGTGTGTGGTACGAGCGATGTTTGTGCGATTTACCAAAGCAGACGGAAGATGGCATGGTCTATTGTTGACCGGGATCAAAATGGCGGCCTGTAATGGGCAATGCGGGGCGACATTGTGCACGGCGCGCACAAACGCGACCACGACAATATAAATAAATGATCCCGATGCGTGAGATCGAGCCGTCGCGACGTGTGTACGTGTCTCGGGTGGTGTAGGCGGCGGTCGGCCGCGCGGTAATGCTCGCCGCTTCGCTTGCCGATCATGTGAGCGCAGCAGCTCGCAGCTCGGTGGTGGTGGTGCTGCTGCTGCTGCTGGTGCCGCCCGCGTGTCGCGCGTTCACTGCGTTCCTTATATTCGTGTAGCCATATTTACAGTGCTATCCATCGCGGCGACCTCGCGTATCACCCGGCGGCTTCCTGACGAGCAGTGCGACACTTTGCATCGCCGTCGTCGCTCGGCCGGACCGTGCACGGCGCGTATATCAAGAGTTGCGTGCTCCCAAACGAGATCAGCGTTGTCGTTTTCGTAGCCGCGAAGCGACGAGTATCATTCACGCACCTAGTGTGGAACGTTAGTCGCCCGGCTATCTTCTCATCGGACACCTGCGTGCAACAACCGTGTTGATCATCATGCTTAGCGACTGAGAAACAGCAGTGTCACGACCTTGGCACGCCGAAAGAAAGAGAGAGAGAAAAACGCACACAGAGAAAGAGAGAGAGAGAGACGACGCTTCATCGCCGGGCACGTCTGGATCTCGCTGACGAGCACGTCCGTCCGCTGCTTGCAGCGTTCGCGTATCGTCGCATCGTTGTGCTTCGCCGCGGATTTTGTGCAAAACGTAAGCGAACTGAAAAGTTTTGTACATTATATCTGTTCGTATATGATCGAATGTCCTCCCGTTGGTACAAAATCATACCTCGGGATTGCAAACAAGACACACTGACTGCACGGTCGTTTTGTGGTTGTCGATGGGAACGCAAGAGCAGAAGAGATTGTCACAGTGACTGCAGCGTAATCTATATTCTGTTTATTTTCTTGGTGTCTCTATTCAATTTTAGACACAATCTTATTGCTTGTGTCATGTGGACCACTTTGTGGGGCATAGCAGTCTATTATAAACATTTCTAGTTTGCTGCTTGTAATTATATTGGAACTATTAAAACTATTAAATTATACATATATATGTGTATATATATGAATCATTAGATACATATAATTAATACAAGTATTATAAGTTTGTTTTCTATTGCTGAACTGATTGCACTAGTTTAAAAAGTGTATACTGAAGCATTCTTTGGTTATATTCCAATATTTACTGCCAGGACTGAAAATCTATATAAAAATCTGTTCATGTTATATCAGAGTTAAATAAATAAATTTTTCTTAACTAAATTAAGTTTGAAGTCAATGACTTATAAAATTAATTTAGTTAAATTAGAAATATATAAACATTAACTTAAAAATATATAAACAAAACCTAACCTGATTAAAAGTTTAATTTAAATTAACTTATTAAAGTTAAAAGTTAATTATGCAAAGCACAATATATATCTATTTTTTAAATAGATATTTTTTTGCATTGTTAACTTTTTAGTTGTAAAATAAATCTATATGAAATAATGAAAAGGTAGTCTTTTATAAGAAAGTATCAACTATTTTGTATTCAGGATTCCATACAAGAAAAGCACACTGATATTCAGACAAAATCAAATTCTGTTGACTTTGTTTTTAATTTCTTTTATTTTATTTGTAAGCAACTGGAATGATTTTAATATTGATGAATTACTTTAACTTATATACAAAAAAAGGTTAATTTTTAAATTAAAAGTTCATAAAGTTAATGCATTTTGAAACAAGTAGTTTAAATTAAATATTTGCTCACATTTAGAATCAACTAAGTTCAACATTTTTAAATTTTAACTGATTAACTAGTTATTACCCAATCCCCTAACATATACTATAGATAGATTTTCAACAATGATAGTGAATATTGAAACACAACCAAGAAATGCTTCATTTCTTGAACTAGTGCAGCCAGTCCTGCAATAAAAAACAAACCTATAAATATAAATGTATATGCACCATGGTGTTTGTCAATAGAGTTCCACTATAACCACAAGGGAGAACATTGTTTATTATTTAGTATATGATAGAAATAAGTTGTGTGTTAAACTTCATAATATTTTTCAGAGAAGAATGGAGATCCTACATTGTCATACAACTAGTCCTAATTGTGGGTTGTACTTTTTATGACTACACTCACTGGAAGTGTTATCAGTGTTTATGACTTCGCACAAGAGTTTGAATATATAGACATACCGAAGTTGTGATAAATAAAACTATGTTATGAGTATCTCGAGATGTACCTATGACACTGTGAACAGAGAGAATCTGCTGAACCTGTACCAAGCAAGGCACTGTGGTGCCAAGCTTGGGTAATGGATCCCGTTGGTTCATGGTATGCATCATATAATCGCCTCACTGCCAATAGCAGCAGTAACAGCAGCAACAGTAGCAGCAGCAATAACAGCGGTACATTTCAAACAACATCGACTACAACAGGCGACTTTGTGTCTCATCATTTAGCAACGGCTCCTACGCAAGTTCCATCGACAACGGCGTCGCAGTTACTTTTACAAGCGGCCCATACAACGGTAACTCTGGCGGGTCAACCGTCTCCTTTTAACCCGGGAGGGTTCCTACCTCCATCTCCCGTGGGTTACGACGTCTTCTCTCCTTTGTTCCATCATCCTAACTCCAAGCAAGCGCATTATGTCACCCAGCATAGGCAAGTTTTGGCTCAAGCGCAAGCGGTATCGGCGACGAAGCAGAACACCGCAACCGAGCCCGATATTCCCGTGTTGAGGGAAAACTACAGCTCGGCGCATCAAGCCACGTTCTTCGAGCAGCAAGCTGCGTCAACATCACCTACGACATCGACATTGGCCTGGACGCATCAGAATAATACACAACTTCCCAGCCCTTTTGGCATCTTACCGCACGAAAGCGTTGTACCTTCATCTCCGGGCCCACCTTCCACGAAGCCTAACAGCACCGGTTATGAGAACAATTTCAACGCTCATTTTAACACGACGCAAACTATAAATAACATTAACTCTCATTTAAGCAGCCCGTCCGCGTGCGGTGCCGATTTCAAGGCGTCCGGCTGTCCCGATGCAAAGAAGTCAGTCAATGTAAGACCCCAGTCGCCTAATATTGTTAACATAAAACCATCAGTTTCCACGTCGCAAGTCAGTAGCAGCCAAACGTTTTTTCAGCAAGTTCCGACGACTTTCACATCTGACACCCTGACGAATAGTTATACAGCGGGCAATGGAAATCAGTCGTCCGGTAATGGAAAAGTGCAATCGTCTCTTCAGCATCAGCAATCGTGCATCGTATCAACACCAAACAACACCTCGGGCAAAGAATATAGGATACCGCAACCGCCTTCTAGATCGAACGCGTCGGCGACGATCTTCTTGAACAATTCCGTACGGCCTGGCGCGTCGCAAGTTCCGGATAAACAAGGAACACGCAATTTCGCGTCGCCACCTAATAAAACCACCGCAGCCACGCAACAGAATATCCAGACTAAAGCGCAGACAAAGATATATCCGGAATTGGGCAGCCATGTCGAGCATCGAAGGAACGAGCCACAGGGACATGATAACAGCCAATCGTCTCCGATTAGCTTCTCCATTATGGACAGCCGTGGTTTGAATTATGCCGCGAATAATACCGCGAATTGCAACAGTAACGGCAAGCTTACGAGCAATCAAAGGACGTCATCTAACAGCAACTTACAGTCTCATCCCCAGCAACAACAACAGCAACAGCAAACGTTTCATGTATTAAATCAACAGCAACAACAACAACAGCAGCAGCAGCAGCAGCAGACTACGTCTTATAGACATTATCTGACGGGATCAACGAGCGACACGGAATATCATCATACGGGCAGATCAAAGTCCGCGACTTCGACGGATTCTGCGTACTCTTCTAACACTTCGACTCAAAATGGTCCTGACTGCAGCGTCGTCGTTCCACGGCGACCGAGTCCTCTGCAAGCTCATTCGCAAGCCAGTCCATTGGGTCATGTCCCGAGTCCGGCGTATCCTATGTACAACAGTCCAATGGCGACAATGTCATCACCTTCACCGCTTCAACAGCACGCTGAAAACAACAGTAACCAATGTGCCAGTGGTGCGCCATACAAAGCCGGAGTTCAACAACAAGTCACCCCACCGTCACCTTTGGATGTTACCGTTCCCAGACCGGCATCGCAAGGACAGGTCGCGTACTCGTCAGTGATCACTCGAGCACTGGGCACCACGGAGAACAAAGCTACATACAATACAGAGAGTAAAACTTACGATAGACAGCAGCAGCAACAACAGCAGCAAGATTTTGCACAGGCGCAAAAACAACAAGTTTGTTGGGAAACCGATAATCGGCAAACGAATAGCAACAGGAAATTTGTCACTGTATATACCGGCGCGAACACCGATATGAACGCGCAGAATTTACCGGTTCAACAACAAGTACAAAGGCTTGTGAATGTGTCAGACAGACAGCAACCGTATTTTGAGACTAATCAAGTAGCGTTGCAAGACTTGAGCAGTTGTAGAGGAGATCCTATGAGTATTGTGAAAAATTTGCAGACGCTACAAGCTCCTTGTCAAGTGCAGCAGCACGTCACTGTTACTACGCCGACTGGTACGGCGGAACAACAGAAACAAGCCGAGGAACGGCGCAAAGCCGACAATGCTAATAAAAAAAGAAAGAGTTTGGAAAAGAGTGGACACGGTACGCCGCTGAATGAGCTCACGGGTACTACGACGATGACAGAGTATCTCAGTAGAATACCTCCGCCGGCTCATCACAATACGAATCAACAGCAACAAAACGGTTACTTCGATTTTGAGCGATGGAACTTGCCGCACCCGCCAGCCAAGATGTTTCCTACCGCATCGGGTGCCTTCAGTTCTCAATCGTCGTTGCATCACACGAGCAACTTCGTCGGCACTCCAGCTCATCAACATCAGTCGTTAATGGTGTCGCATCATCATGCACCACCGCCTATCCCATATTTTCCAACTTTTCATATTCCAGCGGGCCATCATCCGCATCATCCGCACGAGTTTCAGTCTTCGGTCGACATAACGCCGATAGGATTCAGCGAAAACGCCGCAAATCAAAATGCTAATTACAATCAAGAAGTCAGAAATGACCAGCCTAAAGTAATTGTTCCTAATATCGAGGAAGAGTTAGGTTTCCTTCAGCAAGATCAGCAGCTGATATCGGCCATGAATCAAATAAACAAAGATTTCAAACGACCCAGCAAGAATAATAATATAGGATTCATGACGAGTTATTTGAAATTTCTGCAAGGTGAAAGGGACCCTTCGCCGCCACCTGCTATACGTGGCGGCAGGAAAGCAACGTGGAACAGGTCAAAACCATACATACCAGTTGAGCCGAGTAAACCCGCGGAAGCTTCAACGAACGGTGAAATTGTTAAACCTCCAGAAAAACCGACCTCAGTTAAGGAGACACCGACGATAGATTACGCTAATGATCCTAGGTATTTTCCGTTGCCAAAGGAAAGAAAGAAACAAAATTTCGATTCGAGTGACGACGGATTTACCAGTGACGATGATTTCCTATTTCCACCAAAAAAAACTGAGAAAAAGGTGCAGAGCACAAATAACACAACTAATGCCGAGATTGTCACCACTAAGCCAGAAACCCAAAAATCTAAGAAAGGTAGACCCATTAAACCTGGTGGACCTACGGATAGGAAAAGAAGAGCGGCTGCGGCGGCAGCGGAAGCGGCCGCGAATGGTCCTAGCGACAAAAAGATATCGAAGAAGATGGAAGAAGGTAATATAAATATACTTTCAGAACATGCGTAAGTTTTATTAAATCAGCAATGTATAACTAAAAATGAGTATGTATTTTTTTATGCAGTGGATCCTTTATTTCTTCCTCCGAGACGCGAGACCTCGAGAAGAAAAGCGAAAGAAAAAACTTCGGTGAAACAATTTTTGGACCGACAACAGGGTATAGACTATTTCGACAATGACGAGGAACAGGCCGACTCTGACTCCGATCCAGCGTGGACGCCTGCCGTAAAATTGGCCGGGGACGAAGAAGAGAAAAGGAAAAAGCGTGCGAGGCCAGTCATTACGAAAAAGATTAGGAAGATTTTGGAAGAGGACGGATATTCTTCTGGGGAAGTCGTTGTTACGAAAAAATCAACTAGAAAGAAGCACGAGATGTCTTCAAAAAATTCTAATAGTTCTGGCAAAATTTCTTGTAAAATTGACGAAAAATTGATTGCATCAGTTAGTGACGAGGATATCGACATCTCGCCATTTAAGGTAAGTTATATATTAATTAAAATATCTTTTCTATAAAATACATACACATGGGGTATCTAATGCAGTATCCAATCTTTTTCCTACCTAAACGGCAAAGAACAAGCATCAGTTTTGGGATCAACAAGCCCACCACCAGTTTTAATTCATAAGATATGGTTGGAGGCAATATATTGAGTGAGTTTTGTAGTAATAGACTATCTGGTGCAACGTGTACGTCCATTCGTGTGCAGATAGAACTGAACGAAAAAGTTCTTTACTATTTTATAAACAATCACAGTAATTATTGATGTGTTAATTAAAGAAAATTAGCAAGCACGCATAATAGAATGAATTCTTTGTTCAAATCCAATATGTCTGAATCTTTTGACAATCTCTGTGCAACGGCAGGCTATGCATAATACTGGACAATCGAAGTATGTATTATTATTATAATATTGTCCAGCATTACGTATCGTCCGTTATTGCCATCTTGGATGAGGCTTTGGCTAACGAACTCGTTCCATCGCATTACAATGCTCACTTGCGCATAAATTCTCTATCATTAATGTCTCAAAAATTATTGTGATTATTTACAGAATAAGACTTTTGTCATTGTGATGAGTTCATTTTGATGATTTCAGTTTGATGAGTTCTATCTGCATATGAGAAAACGTATGCGTTACGCCACAGCTTATACGTATTACAAAATTTACTCAGGATATTGCCTCGGATCATATCTTATAAATCTATATATCATATCTTATGAATTAGAACTGACTCAATGATAGGTTTGCTAGGGCCAGAACTGGTGCTCGTTCCCTGCTGTTTAAGTAGAAAAAGGGTTGAGCGTTGATTGAGGGCAGTTGGCTTTTCCGAAGCCCGAGTAGTTAAGGAGGTTTTTTTTGGTCGGGGACCTACACTTCTTTTGAAGGAGTACGAGCCTGGGCTAATGACCATCTTAACAAGAGGAATGTACAATAGACAATATCACTCAGTGTGATAAGTAGAATTCCTAAGGAGGTTGCCCTTCTCCCTAAATTGCTATTATGATATATTTATTCTTACGAATAAAAACATCATGATGATTACATATGTATATTCTTGTACATGCAGCTTTCGGTAGGCAACTCGGAGGATGTGGTAATCTTCAATTTCATTCTAATTAAAATTCATAAGAAAATAGCATACATAAATTTCTTTAAAAGAGATTAATATATCTGTCCGATTAATAAAATATAACATCGGATAAAAATTAAAAATAGAAAGTAATGATATTTTTTATACCTTTCAGTCTGGCGAATTTGTCGTAATCAAAACGGATTTGGGCGAAGAATATCCTCCTCTCTGGAGAATAGATGGCAAAACATTACTTCAAAAGTACGAACCATTCAAATCCAACGGGAAAACTTTATATAGAAATATATCCACGGTAAGTCTAATCAAATTAGAAAAGATAAAAAAATAGAAAAACGATATAGTTCGGTATATATCATCACTTTTATTGTTTTACAGTATTCTGGATGGGCTCCGCAAAATCGTCACATATATCAGCAAGTACCAGTGAAATTTTTACAGCAGGGCAAAATAGAAACTATTGTGGAATTTTTGAGAGATGAGATGATTATCGATGACAGGTAAATATTTGTGCAACAATATATTTCAAATCTCTTGATGAATTTTATAAAGTTTTGCAACTTTAATTTCTGCCCTACTGCAGCGAAAACATTGATAAGTCTATGAAAGATACTGAGAAATATCAAGACAATTTCGAAGTATATATACAGACTTTGATCTCGCAAGCTTTGGACTCTAATTTTCTCACTGAAATTTTTCAGGAACAAGGTAAAATAACATAATTGAATATAATACTCTTAGATGATGTGCATCACGATATTATATATACTTATATTCTTACTTTTTAGACGATTATTTCCTGTCAAATGTCAAGACTGTCGATGACGTAACAGACGAGAGGAAACGTCGTCTCCTGTCCACAACAAAATGGAAACCGAATATCGTAACGGCGATATCGACATGGCCGTGTCTTAACGTGCTTAAAGAAATACCGTCGTCGGAATATAAAGGAAAATCATGTGCTGGTTGTCAGCAGACGAGAATCTATGCGAGAGTTTTACTTTATGGACAACCATATAATAGCACTACATTGGAAGGCTCGCCACCTGATCCAAGAATATCTTGTGAAAAAGTATAGCGAAATTATGATCTGATAAAATCTAACGAAGTCTAATAAGCTTTACTTATTCTCATTTCGCTTTTAGGACTTTCTACTGTGTCGCATTTGCCAAGCGAAGATAACTTTATACAATAAAGTTGCTCATCAAAAGTATCTGATGTTTCTGGAGTGCGCAGGAAGAGTGACGGAAAAGAGGGTAGCGGACCCACATAAGGACACTACAATAATATTAAATGAATTATTAGCAGACGAAGCATGGTTGAATCAGGTAAGTACATTTTATTATTGTTTTAAATAATAATAATAATAAGAATATATTAAACTAAGACGAATCTTTTGTTAGCTTTTCAAGGAAGTGAGAAGCATTTGGGCTGAGATAGATAGCATGGAGCAACAAACTAAAACGAAAGCCAAGTCGAAAGCAACATTGTCATCATCAGTAGTTGCAAGTGCTTCTAACGTACTTACGCCTAAGGAGACTGCTAATACTTCTGATTCACAGGTGCCTATACATAATACCGAGAAAAATCCCCAAATATCCTGCGACATGCAGGTGAGCAACGTATCGTCTTAGTGGTGTTATAACAACTATTTACGTTTGATACAAAGTGTACCAAATACATTCGTACGAGTCCATTGATACATTTGATGCTTGGACGTTTGCGTACCCATCTCGATACAAATCAAATGGATATTTCATTATGCGTGTGCAGTGGAAAGATTTACTGTAAAAATATATACTGTATGTATGTGCGTTTGTGTATATGAAGAAGAGCGTGTGTGAATGAAGAAAAAACGATCAAACTAAGAATGTAATCGAGAGACTATAATTGTAGAAATAAGCCATGTTATGGCGTGTAACGTATATGTACACACACACACACACACACACACACACACACACACATACATAGAGGTATATTATACACATACAATACTATATATAGTTATATATATATGTATGTATGTATATATATACATATTGTATATACATATACATTGCATATAATTAGATAAGTACAGGGAAGGTCCACATGCAAGCAGGCTGAGCATATGTAACATATTCATATTTGATATAGAAATTAGTTTTAGCCGAAATTTTGCCATTATAATAGCATAATGATGATAGCATAATAACAATAATGAAAGCCGATGTGAATATAGACACTTAGAGTTTAGGTCTTTGTATCGTGATAATCTTATATGTAATGTTAAGCTCCAATGTGGCGAGATCTGAAATATGTTGAAATATTACGGTGATATGACGTATTAAGCGTCACTACTTTCTGTATCATATTTACATCACATTTTATCAAATCGCGAAATTTATATTCTACATAGTGAGTAGAAGAGCATTACATTATTTTTCTGAGTATTCTTTGTATTTTTTGCAACTATAATTATTTGACAGGGCAATTTCCAGAATTTGTATATTGTTTAGAATAATTTGATAAAGTTTACGTCAATTGCTTACTATAAATTTTGTCTTATGTGCGTGTGTGTATATGTGTGAGTGTGCAGGTGCACAATTACGCGAGGTATAAGAACAACAAATACTATTCGCTATAAAAATGTAGTAAGAATTCAGCTCATGTTATTTCGAAACAAGGCTCTATGGTAAATGCAATATTTTTGAAACGTTTTCCATAAATTGCGAGATTTAATATATTTACATATAAAAATATTTCTAACATATATGTTTCGTGTATTCGGTACATTACTAATGCGTCATATTTCCGCATTAGTCATTCGCATTGATATATTTGAGTAAGTATTTCTTCCAGTGCAACGTAATAATAATAAATATGTAAATTCTTCCATATTAAGGCGACTTATGTATAGATAAATTCACATGCATTATTCTCTTCTGGTAACTCAGTTTGGTAATTTCTAAAAATCTATGATATCTAAAATTTGTCGCAATATAACGCGCACAGTTATATTTCGTTAATTTTGTTCCCTCAGTATCGAAGTCATGTTCATTTAAAAATTTGCAAATCTGGAGTATAGAAATGTATATGAGTGATAGATTATTTGTGAAAATAATCATCATTATTGTCGATTTATGTGTGTGACAACCGTATGACAATATTATTAATAGTTTCTTAAGAGGAAAGACTAATATCTCCTATTAGCCTTTTCTCTTAACTTTTGATTGAATATCAGTCGAGCCTCAACATTAAATCATTAATAGTTTCTTTGTACATGAGGAATACACATCGAAGTAATTTTTAAGTAACAAAGAACAAAACGAAATACTATTCACTTTAGAAAAACACAACTATTTTTTTGTGTCTCTACCGATCGATATTTATTCACAGAATATTCTCAAATATCGAAGCTTGACCATGTTCGACATAAAGTATGGAAAAAAGAAATATTATATCCGCGTTGTGTTGTACGTTTAAGATTGTTTTCACGGATTCTTTCCAATAGCCGATAAGTAGTTTACGATAGCGTGATATACATTAATAATTTTACTGTACATTAAATATCATTGCGTTACTTTACGTGACATTTGTGCTTACTATAAATCTAATTATTGCTATTATATATCATTATTGTCGTCACTATTACTGATATCATTGTTTAAAGCTTGAACTGTTTAAGTTTTCGATCTGTTTCCAGATTTATAAAGAAAAGAAGGAATATTCTCTAAAAGAGCGGAACGGTGATAAGCGTGTGTGGCGCGAATGTATTTTTCGAAGATGATGTATCAAATTATATTTGTAAATTGTAAAAATATAATAGCGAACGAAGAGAAAATGGTTGGCGCGTGCCGACCGGCGAACAAAAGAGAGCTTTAGGCACCTTTCTGATATTTCGATAAGTCGAAATTCACGTATTAACATCGATCATATGAACGATCGATTGTGTAATACATTATTGAATGGTCTATTGATGACGGAGCTAAATATGCGGGCATTTGGACACTGGCGTATAGTAAACGAATAAAGGAAAGTACGCAGCTACGGAAAATTTTGTTTTCAGCGAATGTGCCATGCAATAGTTCATATCTGATGTAATTCGTACCACATGCGACAATTCGACCCGCCGCAAAAAATCGATCGCGAGTGAATTGGATCGGATTCTCTTCCATAAAGTCGCATTGTCGCGCGTGGTACTCACTTAATATACATACAGTTATTGTCAATATTATAAAACGAGACTATTAATATTGTTATATTGTAGTTTCTTTTTTCTTTTTCCTTTTGGAACTCCGAGGATGTAGTTTATCTGCTCGATTGTAAATTACTTAGCGCTTCTCCCAATAATTCTTTGCGCGCGACTCCACTACACGATGAATTATTATTAATCGTAGTGGGAAATTGCAGTATTTTCTGTTATCGCGATCAAGAAAAACAAAGGTATGATCAAAATATAAATATTATATTATAGTGAAATATTACTCGCGTAATTTATGTTTTTATTAACCATTTTTCAATAAAACTGGAGAAATCTATGAAACTTTGTGTATTGTGACTCATCATTTCTTTAAAGCAGTAAAGAAATGTAACTAATCGAGAGTTGAAAACAAAATTCCGAAAAAGACATCTAACGATTTTAAAGCGAATATAGATATGTAAATAACTCGGTTTTTTTACTTTAAATTTTCATGCTATATCTTGAATAGATTACTTCTCAAACGATGTCATATCGTAATTATGTTCTTCATATTGTAATTTATACAAAGTGTCCCAGACTCTTCTCTGCATATTTTGTGGGAACGTAGAATAGGTTGAAGTAAACATAAAAATCCTATACCGTTTTGCGATATTCGCAATAATAACTGAACAATTAATTGTGAAAGATTAAGAAAAAGCGTGCTGAATGGTAGAAAACGGAGCGCTTGAGTCACAGCCCAGTAATATAGCGTGCGGATGTAGGCGCGATTGGAAGAACAATGTACCATTGCCTTTGCTATGTTAATTTACGTCATATTATTGATTGTTAGAGTAAAAGGAGAGTGCACGGAGTATTTTACAAATTTGTTTAATCGATTGCAAATGTTACTTTATGGATATATGTTTTGATTTTAACCTATTTTGCAAGAATTTATGTATGCATTTTCTCGCTTCTGACGTCATTAAAATGAAATAAACAATGCAAAAGGCCAGGAGCCTTAATTTTTTACAATTTCTCGATTATTATTGTGAATATCGCAAAATGGTGTAGGACTTTTATATTTACCTCAACCCGTTCTATCCTTACGAAAAAATATGAAAAAACCCTCAATTTTGGGTATAAACACCCAAAAATTGGGGATGAACACCTAAATTTATGTTAACACCCAAAATTGAGGATTTTTTCGTATCTTTTTCGTAAGGGTACGTTCTCACAAAGGAGGAGAACAAAGGAGAAGAGTCTATAATATAATTCTGAGCAACGTTTTCTTTTTTTATTATTTTGACGACCATTTATATTACAAGCAATTGCTTTATCTTGTCTTTTTAATAAAAATGTATCATTTTATATTACACTTGTTTATATCGTACGGTATGATTTATTAATTCTTTTTTGAGTGTAGAAAAGTGTAGAGGAGTGCGTTATCTTTGCGCTCTATAATAATTGAGGTTGCTGTGTTAGGAAACAACAGGAGTCAACCAATTGAAAGCACTATTTAAAAATCCCTCCAAATGCAACAAAATGTTTAAATCACGAAGTAAAGCTGGTATTCATAGTCGGATCTTATATTTAAGAATGTCTTAAGTTTATTTTAAGATTATGTATGGATCATTTTATTGGTTATTGAATATTTGAAGATGAACTTAAGGCCGGTATTCATAGTCCGATCTTATATTTAAAATCATCTTAAGTACTGTCTTAAGATGTCATGAACCAATCACAAAGCCGTATTCGCATCTTAAGACATTACTTAAGACGGTCTTGAAATAAGATTCGACTATGAATACCGGCCTAAGATACTTAAGGTCTGGGTCCTTATTCTTGAAATAAGGCATTTTTTCGTTTCGTGACCACGGTAGCATTTGTTTGATTAGTTTGGTCCATTTAATGTTCACAACGCCTCGAGCAATAAAGATAAATGACGTCCACGGCGTTGCGAGCGTTAAGTGGACCAAATTACGAACCAAACGCTACCATGGTCACGAAACGAAAAAACGCCTATAGACTTGGTTTACATCGTGTACTTGATACTAAATAGTAACTTTCTATTAGATAATCTTAATATCGATGATATATATAAACAACAATATATTAAACCAAATATATAAACCAGTAAATCCAATCTTTCTTTTATTGATGCCTTCGACAGACCTTCTCGGTGTTCATTACCCTTGTAGTCTGTTGATTTTAGTTTCTTTCAACAAACACAGGATATGTTACCTATATTCGCATATGTCACAATTTTATTATTGTAATTTGAGATTTATTATTGTGATTTCAGAAATGGAAAATATCGAGGATCAATCCAGTAGCGTTACTTTGATAAGAGCAAGATGAAAAATCATATATTGGAAATGAAAAATGCAACAGCCGTGACAAATCACGGAGTAATAAATATATAAATATATAAACACTAAGAAATATCAAAAGAAGAATAGGTATTATAAATATGTTTATAAATTTATTTCTCTTTTTCCTATTAATTCCGATAACGAATGATGTACATCAAGGCTCACACTTTGGTAATTTTATCCTGCAGGAGATTGTTCTCTGACTATAAATGTTCTGCAAGCACATGGTTTGCTGCGAAGCTGAAACAAGAAAATGAATTAAAGGAAAGAATCGGTCCAACAATATTCGCAGTCACAGACAATATGTAGATAATTAATCTTTTATTATATGTATACATATATATATATATATATATATATATATATATATATATATATAAATTTTAACTACATATCTGATATTTGTTTATCATCCATTTATTTATTCTGCTATTTTCCTTGTGTAAACTTGTCTTTAATCTTGCATAGACTTCATTCCATATTTAACGATGTTGCCAAAATGATTTTACTGCAAAGAATTATGCCACAAACATGAATAATATCATGAATGATATAATGATATTATATACAATTGTATAATTTTAATGTATCAAAACTGAAACATTAAAATTATACAATTGTATATAATAATAATGTATTAATTTATAAATATATTTATATTACATATTTGTAAAAATTATTTTTTTATCTCGTTTATCTCCATGCACTCCACGTTTCCACTTATTTGCGTCATTTTAATATAATTTTATTTTTATTTTATGCTCCATTATGTTTTTTATATTAATATTTATAAAGAATTCTTCGATATTTCTTGTTTACACTCTCCCATATCTGTCAAAAAGGTTTCACAAACTAACAGACTCACTACTTAAACAGTGTTACTAATGTACAGAAATTAAAATTATATCGTCTAGAGGTTTTTGTTCGTACCAATACTATCCCCTCTATTTTTCGGGAAAATGTAGTCTAACCAACTTTTTGGCCCTTATTCTGATGGCTTCTGCACAGGACGCGATAATGCTTGCCGGCGGTAGTTCGCGCGACAGCCAATCAATATGTTGTTTTTCCGTAAGAGCTAGAAGGTTATTACGGAGAACAGCATATTGATTGGCTGTCGCGTGAACTTCCGCTGCGCAGTAAGCATTACCGCGTCCTGTGTGCAGGAACTATGAGGATGCAAACCCATGCAGCGGAATAGAGGGGCGTGGAACGAGAGCGGAACCAATCACGAGCGTTCTACAGTTTTCGCTCGTGATTGCTTTCGCTCTCTTTCCGCGCTCTCCTATTTCACTGCATGGGTTTGCACCCTAAGAGTCATCTACAATGAAAAATCGTAGCAGTAAGAAATTGACCAATCATACTGGATTTTTACAAAAATAATGAATTGTCATTGGTCAATTTCTTACTGCTACGACGTACGATTTTCCATTGTATATGGCTCCTTATGGCTGCGTTCAGATTCCTTACCCGGGTACACTCTAATACAAGAAGTGCTATAGTTATGTGACATATACTATAGTGTTTCTAGTAACAGAGTGCACCCGGGTAGGGAATCTGAACGCACCCTATTCTGCATGTAATTTCACCCTAACTGTAACCTATTGTAGACTAGGCTTTACGGAAAATAAAATAAATAAAAAATATACTCCAATCGAATTCGAGAATTCACTACTACGATAGTTATTAATCCGGATTAACGTTGCCGTGTAAACGTAGTCACAGTCAATGGTCCAATGAGAGACTTTGGGTGCTTTCCAACTACGTTATACTGTGTTACACAAAACCAGTTTATTGATCACATATTATCTAAAATATCTTGTAAGATAATATGTAACTAATAAACTGGTTTTGTGTAACTCAGGCTTCAATTTTTCGGCAGCCGCTTGGATTGGGATGTTAAAAGTTGCAAGCAGTTGCACGATTTTGCTTGCAACTTAAATTAAAGAACGGTCAAGATTTACGTAGTCTGCAGCTTGATGTGCGCAACTGGATATACAGAATGATTAAATTATGCATCTGATGCATCGGGTTGTGTCTGTTGCAAATAAAAGAACGCATTCACAGGGTATATACGTAGCTGGAAAGCACCCAAGTCTCTCATTGGACCATTGGCTGTGACTACGTTTACACGGCAACGTTAATTCGGATTAGTAACTATCGTAGTAATGAATTCTCGAATCCCATTGGAGTACATTTTTAGATCTAAAAGAATATACCAATAAAATCCAAGAATTCACTAACTACAATTGTTACTAATCCGGATTAACATTGCCATGTAAACGTAGTCTGTGTCCCAACATGCGACTTCGACAAACGACGTATTGTAGAATTGACCTTAGCGCATGCGAAGTATACACGTTCGACAGTATTCGGTAATGTTCGCCCACGTCGTATCACTGCCTCCCCACCACTTTTCTCTTCAACTGCTTGTGATTCGGATACCATTCTAAGGAACCAGTTCAGTTTGCGTTTGTTGCCCGTGAAGGATGCCTTCTGCCAACCCCAAACTAGAGAAACAGGCCTCTACGGAGACCGCAGAACCCATTCGTCAAGCGATTATCGTAATCGAGCACAAGATACGGAATCTCGAGAAGCGTAAGGTGAGATTACCGAGATTATGTGCCGTTATTACGGCCAAAAATTTAATCTGTCAGCCGCGACTAGATTCTTTACGCGCACCGTGCGATCCGCCATGATCCATGATGCGCCATGTGCTCACGATTTTCTCAAAGTGTTGCCGACACGTTGAGATTGTTCGGTCAGCATACACGTTAGCCGTGCAAATGTATGCAGCACAATGCGGCGACACCGTATTCTAGTATATTCTATCCTGGCGCATCCTGGCGATGTCAAACGCGCCAATTTGTCGTCGCCAACCTTGTATCATGGCGGTGTATCATCTACGTACACGAAACTTCTCTCTTTTATCTACGATGCGCTTTACAATTGACGATCTGATCGAACAGCGAACGTTGCTGGCGTAAGAACCGCGTCCGCTGATCATCTCATTTACCACGATTAACGTCGCGATGTGCCGCAAAATCGCCACAACTCACGTTCGGCGTTTTGCTTTTGTATGTCTCGCTTCTGGCTCGATTGTGACAAACACTCACTGATGACGCCGTTGAAAACGACGACGACGACGATGACGACGACGAATCGTCTCGTGATGCCTTATATCGTTCGCGTGAATACCATAAAATTGTTTTCCAAATTGGAAACGAGGTTACACGTCATGTTTGAATATTTGCGGTCTGCGCCGTATCGTACATTGTATATCGCGTTTCGATAAAGTGGCTTACAGTCATTCAGTCAAACGCGTGGTGTTATTGCATTTAGGAGTTATACAATTACACGAGTATATGAAATACGCGGCTTACCTAGTGGTTTATCTATCGAAAAAGTCTAGTCAAACTGTTAAAGTTTTAATATGCTATTTTGCGAATTTAGGGTAAGCTAGAATCGTATAGGGATCTGCAGAAGAACGGGAGGGAGCTAAACTCTGACCAGAAAACAGCGGTCGCCAAATATGACGAAGTGCTTCAAACATTGGACATCACTCGAGAATTGTATAAGCAAATCGTTGCTATCGCCAACGATGGAGTCAAACAGCAAAAGAAGTTGGCGCGAAAGGAGGCTGTTGAGCGGATGCAGCATGACATCATAAAGGTATAGATATATCTTTTAAAATATATTTTTTTCATTGTGTTTCACAGATATTTCACATATATTATATTTTTACAAATACTTTTATATTTTTTCTAAAATATAATTTTTGAAATTGTATTTTAAAAGAAAATAAAAGATTTATAATCTTACAAATCTTACATTTTTGCAAATACTTTTACTTCTGAAATATAATTTTTATATTTAAATATTTTTTATATTTTGAACTAAATTTTTAATTTTGGAAGTAAATGAAAATATTTGTGTACAAATATTTGTATTGTATAAATAATATTTGTGAGACCACACGGACTATGTTTATTCAGCAACTCTTAAAGAAGTTATAAGATAAAATGAATTTCTTAAGAATTGAAGTTTACATTACATATAAACTCATTATATTATTTAACTGCTTGTACAATTAAGCCAGCAGCATATGATGCTTTCATGCTGGATTATTTGTTGGATTAGAATACTCTGTTCTAATTGGTGCATTTCTGAAGATGGATGGACATGCACCAATAAAAACAGAATATTTCCATCCATCAATCCAGCACAAAAACAAACACTGTGTGCCGCTGGCTTTAGAAAAAAATTGAATATTCAAAGGTTAAGATATTTGTAATTAAAGTTTACATTTCTTACGCATGTTTCTTGAGATTGGTGTGCCACTTTTAATTTTTATTTTTGATTTTTTGTAAGAGAATTAAGATTAGGGTTTTAATGACAAACGACTATGATATTGAGGATTAAGCAGGGTCTACAATAGAAATTGTAGAGTTGTAAATCGTAGAAATTGACCAATCGCGATCGACTATGAGAAGAATAATTGACCGCGATTGGTCAATTTCTATGACTTGCGACTTTACAACTTCTATTGTAGACCCCGCTTTAATATACCGAAATTATACACAAACTTTAGAATTATTAGGTCTGTTCTTTGTAGCTGCACTGTCTGCACTAGTTAAGAAAGTGTAGTACACTAAAGCATTCTTTGTAGCAGAGCTGATGCATTGTTGCTGTTCTTTGTAGCATGAACTAGTGCAATAGTTTAGAGTTCTTGTACAATGCCAGGCTACAGGCAATAGAAACAGGTATTAGTTAATAGGAACAGAGAATAGAAATATTTTACCAATCCAAATTCCTATTCTCTGTTTCTATTGCTTGTTGCCTGGCATTCTGCAATGGCCTTTACTGTACTGCTTGCACTGGGTCTGGAGTCAGTGCAACCAGAACAATGCAAGAAATGCAATCAATAAGTCCAAAAGCAGCGAAACACAAATATCTTTTAACACTACATGTTCCACTTTGTGCTATTCTGCACTAGATCGTTCTTTGTATCCTGACTACACTCTTACATTGGCCTGTGCTTGTTTACACTAGTCCAATTCTAGTGCAATCCCAGTACAGCTACAAAGAACAGACCTATTGATTGTTTTCTTTGGAAAAGACAGCAGAGGAAAATTCATAATTTATAGTAATACTCAAGTAATATTTGAAATACATACACATATTTAAACACTTACATATCTCTTTCTATTCATCAGTGCATCTCTGTTAGATAAACTGATAGATAAATGAAACATTAATACAAACAAATACGATATTCATATTTGTAATATTGTGTATATATGTCCATCTCAACTTTGCTCAAATTAACATTTATTGTTTATAGATGATGGAATAAATATAGAAACGTAAAATTTTATTCAATAAATAGCAAGTTTTATGAGTGGTTTCTTTGATGTGTCACTGAAAATGATACCAAGCCTTACAATCTTTTTAAAAGCAGTTAAATAAATATAACAGCCATAGTCTATGTTTATATAAACAATAAAACAGGTTTAATTGTTTTTAATATTGTAACTATTGATGTTACATGTTGTGTAAACAATTCTGTTGTAAATATGCTATACAACATGTAATATATTAATTACAATATCGAAAATATGGTTGACTTTATGTCAAAAATTGATTTTATGTTAATTATATAAATACAGGCTATGGTATCTGCACAGATGTTACTAAATTGGCTTTATAGACCGCTGTAGCATAGTCCTATTCTCGAAATATCGGAACAATATAAAAATATTGTTTGCAAGTACGAAAGTACCTGCAGGTACATAATATTAAGCTAATATTTGCAGGTACGAGAAGTGCTCATTATTCAAGATACCTTGATAAATATGGGCACCGATTCCGCTAGAGGTGATTTTCTTAACGGTAAGAATGGTGCTATAAAGCTGTCGGAGGAGGATTTAAAGCACCTGGACAGCTTTTATAATGAACTATCAATGAAACATCAACGCGAGGAAGGTGAGCCAACCTTTCTTCAACAAGTTCAGAAAGCTGCAGAACATTATGTTGCGCTTGTTGAGGGAAAGCAACGTGAAGTAGTTGGCACTACGTACAACAAATTGAAGGACATCATTGCGAGCATCAACCAATGCGGGTATTTTGATCAGGTCCACGAATCCGAGGCAGTACCCGTAGAAGAGGTATGTTCTTAGACATATGCTGACGGGCGACGCAATGTGCTGATACAACATGTATGTTGCACGTGTACGTCTCATGTACAGGTAGAACTCGTCAAATTGAACGAGAAAGTTCTTTACTATTTTGTAAACAATTACGATCTATTATTGAGATATTAATAAATGAAAATTAGTAAATGAATGTGGATGGTGCAATGACATGAGCTCTTTAAGTTTGAATCTATTGATTATCTTGGCAACGATGGACTATGTATAATATTGGATAATGGAGATGTGTATAATAATACTGTCCAGCAATACACAGTCTGCTAAGAAACTGTCAATAGATTGACATTTTCTAGATTGAGACTTCTGAAGAACTTCCATCACATCGTATATACTCATTTGATAATTTTCTATTATTAATATTTCAGAAATTATTGTAGTTATAGTAGGATAGTATAGTATTTTTCTATTTGAGTAAAAAACCTATTCTAGTTTGATCAGTTATATCTGTACACGAATTGACGTACACGTTACATTAGGTACCTGGTATACAGGTTGTCTTATTTTAATTGGTATAGCGTTGTATATTTCAGAAATTAAAATTTACAAAAATATTAAAATAAGGTTATTGAAAAGTGAATAGTTTGCGAAATATTTTATATTTTGATATTATGAGAAATAACAAAATAAAATATAAAATATCTCGGAATGTTTTTTTTTTTTCGATAATTTTTTTTCAGTATTTTTACATGCAGGGTGGATGCAGGAAATTTATATTAAAACATCATATGATTTTATTTAAAAAAAATTAAAATTTACTATAACAGAGCTTTTCAAGATCATTCCAAGGTCAAATAAATATTATTACCTTTTTCCTCTTAAAATTCTACAAATTTTGCTTGAAACATTTTTATATTTTATAAAATATTTTATATCTTATACGTTTCTTAGGTATTTATTAATTTTAACAGCAAAAGGAAAGCATTCGGAACATTTTAGGAATTTACTGAATTGATCACAAGTATCGTTTTATGGACACATCTTTTTTATTTCAACTTATAATGCAATAATCATAGGCATGCGTTTTCTTGCTTCTGACGTCATTAAACAAAGACAGTCGACACGAGTACTCGGGAGCTTTAATTTCCGAAATATTTTGTTGTATCAATTAAGATGGAACTTGTATATAGTACTTGTATAGAATATGTATATAGTACTTGTATATAGTACTTGTATATAGTACTTGTATAGAATATGTTGTATATAGTAGTGTTTATATTTGGTAAACTGTAACACATATATTTTATTTACTCATATTTGCGCAGGTTACCGAAACTTTAGCTGAAACACAAACTATTGATGGACCAACGGCACAAGAACAAGTCAATGAAGAATACAACAGTAACGACAGGCACATTCCACCGGAATCTATGATACCCATTCCAAATTTTCCCGTTCAAGTAGCCCCGCTTCCCGTTGTTTCTGGTGCTGCGCCGGTCTCGGGGCCTATTCCGGTCGTACCACAGCCAATACCGCCGCATCCAACTGCCCCAGTTGATACTCCATATTACACGAACGCTACCAGCTTTGTACCGCAACAACAGCAACAACAACCTCAACCACAGCAGCCGCAGCAGCAACAGAATCAACAATCCCAACAGCAACCACCACCGGCTCCTAGAATCAACGACGTCATAGGCACACCAAACTTCTTCTTCTTGCAAGAATCCGAGCTTGATTCGCCAGACGTCACATCACAGGCACCTATTGTGTCGCACATTCCTCCCGCGGTGAACGCGCCGATTCCGTCGCAGACTTTCACAAACCAGAATTTCGCAAACGCGCCTGTTGGAGTACCCCAACAAGTTATTTATCCGCACCAACCGCCGCAGGATATGTCACACATTCCCGGATTTGCAAATCCCAATCCACCACCGCCTATTCCGATGCCGCCTTCTCATCAGCAACCGAACATGCAGTACAGTCCGCAACATCCAACTGGTTTCCAGCCGCAACAATCACAGCAACAGAATGGTGGACAGCAATTACCTCAGCAAGGGCAGACGCAAAACTTTGAACAGGCACCCCATCAACAGCAGGAATCTCAAACATCTACAGAAGTAAATGTAATGCTTTTAGTCTTGTCATAATATTAATGTCAGTTTTTATTGTGGCCGTTTTATCGACAATTCATAAATATTATTTCAGGAGAAAACTGAAAATGGTTCGAGTGAGACTACTGTTGCTATGGAATCCGAGCTGGAACAACAAACTGAATCTGTCGATTGGTGTCAGATGACCGAAACCAACGATTGGAGTCAACCCGATCAACAACAGCAGTCTGTTCAAGATTCTCATCAAACACCACAGCAGCAAACATCTCAACAGACTTGGACTGATCAACGTGGTGGGTACAGAGGAAGGGGCGGTAGAAGAGGAACCTCGAATGGCTACAATGGCAGAGGCAGGGGCAATTATCAACAAAATGGACGTGCAGGACAAGGTAAGAACAAAATGGATTTGATTGTAATCTTATAAATCCTGATTTTTTTGCATCGGATCAACAGATTTGTAAAATAATCCAAATACTTTTAACAATCGATAAATTATTGTAAAATTGAGTCTCTTAACTATTCTTAACTACTTAAGCCACAGAACTCTTGATTGATGACATTAAAAGAGAAAATACACATTCGAAATTTTTGTAAAAAGATATATCTACAAAATAGCACTTACTATCGATCTGATAGATCTGTAAAATAGCCTGAACACTTTTTGTTCCAACAGTCAATAAATTATCATAAAATTTTATGTTAAGTTAATTAACTTTGAATGCAACCTACTTTTTTCTCTTATGATTATCACGTTAATTTTATGGTAATTTATTGTTAGAGCGAAAAGAAAATGTTTAGACAGTGTCACAATGTCATATTTTACAGATTTTCTCGGTCGATCGCAAGGTACGAAGTATAATACGAGTCAGATATCCTGTATACATAATTTTCATACTAGTAACCGTGCAAACAAAAGTTTTTTTAAATACAAAAAAATAAAACGATCGCAAAGAAACAGAAAATAAAGAAATACAAAAAATAAAATGTTAATGTCCTAATTAGTGGGTTACATTCGTTTTTCTCAATAAATCAGTTAATACGGGTCTATATTTATTTTAAAAATATATAGTCATATCCTAAGTTTCATATACTATCATTTATAAAAAGTTTCGGATAAAATTGAAAATCATAGGAAATGGAACATCCAAATTTTATAAGCATATTGCTGAAGGCAATAGTTCGAACATTACTTACCGACATTTTAAAGTGTGTATACTAAACGAATAAATAGCCAATACGAGTGTTTGGACATTCGCATTCCTGGACGTTGCTCATTCGTTAGTTTTCTTGTTTACACTGAATGTTCGCATATGACAATATATGAGTCTTTAGTTTTGAATTCCTATTCTTATAATGGTTGTACATACGTAAGGGTCGTTGCGCAGCTATTTTATGGTATGATTATACCTGCGCAACGACATTTAAATATATATAACCATTTAACAAGTAAGGACCTTGATTTTTTTTCACTCGGGTACCGTTCGCGTTTAAGAATACACGTAAATAATGCACAGCAAAGCGTTGACGAATCCCATTTACGCGAATTTTATTTGATATATCTAGGTATTTTTTTTTTCATGTCTCGTGACTGTTGATCGGTAATTTGAAATAAAAATACATAAGTTTACGAAGCCAAAACGACTGCCACCCAGAATGGAGAGATTTTAAATCCATAAAAAATTGTGGGTATTATTGCTCGACTATCAGAGCATTTCCTAGTGGTCGAATTGGTAATCTTAAGTAAATGATGAAGTGATAATATAAATGCAATGATAGGCGCAACAAGACTCAGAAAGATTAGAGAAAAAAAAATAAAAAAAAGTACTACGGGAGGCGGAAAGATAAAACGAACGGCATGTCGAAAAACAATTTCCTACGCGCTGTTCATATTATCTCCGCGGATCTCTACGTTTAGAGATATTCTTCGCTTCTAAGAAGTTCGCATAGTTAGCCAATCCTCATGCGATTACGCGTTCAGCGTTTGTTTTATTACATAGCACGCGCTAGTTAGCCAGTGGGCTGGTGCTCGGTGTAAATCTTTCTTTGTTAATAACTCAAAATTTTACGCGTGATTATTTCGGAAAAGGTATCCCATTACTTATTCTGACCTATTCTAGCGATATATTAGCTCTGGTATGCTGTCAAACATTTTGTACAAGTAGAGAAAATAATATTAATAGTAAAATAATAAATAAATAAATAAAATACCAATAAAATAATAATAAAAAGATATGTAATTTTGATAATTAATTCATATGTCACTCTAATCTGTATCAAGATATTTATTTATCTCATTAGTAGCAACTGTTATTAGTAACAGACTCATTAATTATGCTGGCCACAATAAATACGATGTAAAATGATATAGCCATTCCTATTTCTTAAAAGAACATGATTTGTAAATTTTATTTATTATAGAGTTAGGAAATAACATTAATATCATATCTTGTCTCCCTAGAATTTATTAAATAGTACAAACAGTAGAGTCATTAGCTTACAAATTGTCATATTTAAATTAGTAGTAGATTAATAATATTATGATTTTGTATCGATTTGTGATATTAGAATTACTTATTATTTTTATAAATAAATAAGTTTATATATTTTTTTTCTTTTTGTTTCCACAATTAAGTTATTTGGTTACTAATTGTGACATTCCTTATATCATAAATTGAGACAAAATTTAATTGTTATGATTAGAATTGTTGATTCTGAGATAAATAAATAGTTTAGATAAATATATAGAGAAAATTATATAGTTTATGTTAAAGATTACAAATCAAAGATTACAAGATTTCTAATTTGTAGAAAAACGCGGTAGGATTGGTAGTGTATCCTTAGCTTGCATATTCGATTCTTTTTTTTTTTATTAACGAACTTTAACATATTTACTATTGATGCTATCGTGTTGTCATTATTTTCTTCTCTTTGTTTCAATAGGCACATACTACCGCAATGATAGTAATTATCAAAACGGGTATCAACAACGCTCTTGGGTAAACAACGACGGAAATAATGGATACAATAGTGGCTTTAAACGCGGTGGTGGCGGTGGACCCAGGGGAGGTCCACGAAGCGAGCGCGGCATAGACAGAGGTGGTCGTGGGCAATTTCGAGGCCAAAGGGGAGGTAATCGAGGCGGATACACTCCCCGTGGCAAGCCTCATACGCAACAATAAATGTGAAAAGACAAAGAAGAAAATGCGACAGTATGTAAATGCACAGTGAAATATTGTAACGATGCTCTTAAGATCATGATTCAACTGTCTATTTATGAAAAAGCTTAAGTCGAAACAATGCATTTGCAATACAAAGTAAGACTCAAAGTTTAGATGCCGTGCAGTATCTCGTGCATGAGTGTTATACATAATAATTTTGATATTAAACAAAAACTATCTTCAAGTGAGATATGTAGGTTTTGTAATATACAGAAAAATATCTGTATAACGTGTTTTTTATCCGTTACATATTCACACGTTGCATTAAGTAATTTCACGCGAATAAAGTTAATTAGTTATAAAGCAAGACAGTTTTGCATCTGATGCAATACCTATAAACGTTACAGATCGCGACGTGAATATAATATATGTATAAAAAAAAAGAAGACAAATTCGACGAAATCCTTAAAAAACGCGTGTGCTAGTATTTGCTGGAGCTTGCGGCTTAGGATATTTCTTAAATATGACATTGATCAAATGAAACTTTGCATTTGAATTTGGTATCTGCAATCACGAAGATTAAAGTTGATATGAAGACGACGCAGAAGGGGAACATTGTGATATAAAGGGAGCTGTACCAAATTCAGAAGTGTGAACCTACCATGCAAGTATTATTGTGTTGTGACAGAAGGCAGGTTTCACAGGGCAACAACAGCTAATCTGTAAAGATTAGAAAAAATATATATAATAATTTTATTATAAAAAAAAATAAAAAAAACGAGAACTCACCTAACAAACATTTCACGCAAAGACAAACAAGAACTTATTTAAAGAGTAACGTTAAGATGATTATAAGTATATAGGCGATCTGCACGACCATCTCTTCGTCTTGTGGCGCATCGTTCCAGAGAGAATTTTCTAAGATACCAGAAAAAAGAGGATACAGTGAACAATGCCTTCTACGCTAAATATTATACCTTCTTAACTTCATACCCCGATCTGTTGAATAACAATCATGTAACTTTTCCTGAAGAGCGGAAATTTGAGGAGTAAAATTTCACTTGAATTCTACGATCTTTAGTAATCATATATAAACTTTCTGAATTATAAATATTTAAAACTTCATGTTTCCACTCTTAGGAGAAAGTTATTTGACTGCCACTCTGATTGTTGTATGAATTGGAGAGACTTAATGAGATAAATGATTAACAAATTTATCGAGAAGTCTAAGTAGCTCAAGAATTGTTAGTGATTTTGGGATATGTAAACATCTGTAAAAGGCATTTTTCACATAGTGTGATATGTGTCGTGACATCGTGTACACTGTTTACGAACCGTGTTGCTCCCGCTTCTATTTTTTCTGCGTAATTCCAAAAATTCTTCACGGTCGTCGCCCATGCAGTTGGCCAAGCGAAAGAGATCGCGGTGCAATGTCCTCGTTTAACGATGCAACGCATTACCTGATTTTTTTTTGTATTATGAGACAAAGAAAGAATAAGAAGAAACGAATGATTATTTTTAAAATGGAGGAAGCGACAGGTGCGCGGGGCTTTAGAATGTAAGTCGAATCCAGTGTATAATTACTAAGAGAAAGAAAGAGAAGTTGCAAGATTGAGAAAGGAAAAGAAAAAAAGTATGCGCTTTTCACAGCGCACTGCCGAATAAGTCACGCTCCACCGTAAAACACGCGATTAAGAGTACCATTTAATTGTATTTCGTTTGTACATTTGTGTTTAATCACTCTCCCCTCTTCTCCCTCCCTTCATCTACGATTACGTTAAACTATCCTATAAAAAAAGCTACCTGTATATCTTCCAAATAAAGATCTAATTCAATCCTACTAACTGATCTATTTATTATGCTCGATACGACAGCGTTGGATTTGTATCGTTTCTCTACAGAGTTGTTACTTCAGCCAGAAATAATTTTTCAAAGTTGTGTTCAAAGATGTTTTCAAATTGCTGTTCGATCAATTTTTAATGGAAATTTCAACTAATTTTTTATTTTAAAACGAGGCGATTTTTCAAGTCAATATTGGGATACTGTAATGTAATTATATACAAGTAAAGATGCAAATTCATGTAGCGGATAAATCGCTGCGATTGAAGGTCACGTGGTCATTCGCTATTCGCTAGCGAGTAATCGCTGTTTGCTGAAATTTTTTAGCTTTCAGCGAATATTCGCTAAGATAATCATTGTTGACATCTTAACAACATAGGTATAATCTATAGATTCTCTAATGTAATAATGCTTAAATATGTCTGCTCCCACTATGAATATTAAATTTTCAAATTGACTTGCAGATATGCGTATATAATTATGAAATCTTAAGTCTTCTAGAAGAAGTTTAGGTAGCACAGCATGAAAAAATCCATGCTCTTTTCTATCTTGAAAAATAGGTGCTATCTGATGTTTCTTTCACGAATATTTTCTTTTCTTATGTAAAAGTATAGTCGTAACTGCAACTGCTTTCCTTTTTCGGATATTTTCATAATAATTCATTATTTGCATATAATTTAATAATGTTTGATTATATCAAGTAATCAAATGAATGAATTTTCTTCCATATGTTGACACGCAATATATAACGCTCATAACCTATTCGCGGCGAATTATTCGCTACTCTCTACAAATCATTCGCAGCGAAAAATTCGCTATATGAAAAGGTACCCTAAGAATACATGTTCGGGTGAATTGTCACGAGGGTGAAGCTCAAGAAGTGAGGGGAATGATTGTATGTATTGTAATGGAGTTGACATACCATGAAAGTGACTCATAGCCAATCAGAAAACTTATAAGCCATTTTTAAAGATTCATTTATCAGTAAAAGAGAACTCAGGGTGCAAATCCATGTACGGACTAGCGGAACATGGAACGAGAGCGGAACCAATTACGTGCGTTTTACAGTTTTCGCTCGTGATTGGTTCCGCTTTCATTCCACGCTCCGCTATTTCGTTACATGAGTTTGCACCCTCAGAATACGAGCTATAGACAATACATACAAAACTCCGATACTAACATGGCCGCGATGATGTATCCTCTTATCTTTTGGGCTTCACAGGCCCTCGTCTGCAATTCGTTCATGGGGGCATTCAGATTCCCTACCCGGGTGCACTTCTAAGGGAGCGTCCCAGATGCGCACATTGACAAAAGGACACAGCCAATCATAACGTCATATGCCTAGAGATATTCTAGAGACTCTATAAACAACGACATATGATTGGATGTGTCCGTTTGTCAATGTGCGCATCTGGGACTCACTCCACTCTAATACTATGGTCGGTATTCATAGGCCGGTGTTCATAGTCGAATCTTATTTCAAGATTGTCTTAAGTAATGTCTTAAGATGCGAATACAACTCTGTGATTGACATCTTAAGACTTAAGATGATCTTAAATATAAGATCTATGAATACTGGCCATAGTCGGATCTTATATTTAAGATCATCTTATAGCATGTTCGACTG